GTCTTTTGTAATCAAATTTCATGATTAAAAATTCATTTTAATTAGCTTTTTTAAAAAAAATCAAAATCTCTAAGAATCATTGTTGTTGTGTGCCATTGAGTCAATTCCGCCTCATAGTGACCCTACAGGACAGAGTAGAACCATCCCCTAGGGTTTCCAAGGAGCGGCTGGTAGATTTGAACTGCCGACCATTTGTTAGCAGTCTGAGCTCTTAACCACTTTGCCACCAGGGCTCCCTTTAAGAATTAAGACTTCTAACATCCCTTAAGTGGTGACAGCAATGGAGGGCTTTGTTCTGGTAAACACCATAGGGGGATAGCAGGTCTTTTCAGCAGTTAGTTCAATGCATAAAATGGATTGTTCTGGATCTGTTCCCTTTCAATCAAACATGATTCAACAACCAGGTAAGGCCACATCAAACACTGCATTTGGGTGTCCAGCGAGTCTCCAAATATGCCTAGGCAAATGTTCTCTTAGTAACCCCATCACATGATACTCCTGCTTTTGACGTGGATTTGAAATGAGCAATGGCCTGCTCCATGGATTATGAAATGGTCTGAAAATGCCAGCAATTTTGACTTATAAGGTACACTTAGATTTGTCCTTTGGTAAGGAATTTGGGTCGTGGGGGGAGAAAAGCAACAGGTAACACCATGCTACCCTTGCACACATGATTCCATGGCCACACCACTGCAGAGGAAAATTCCGCTAACAATTACCTTTCAGTTGCCAAGGCTGGGTCTAAATGACCTCAGAAACAGCAGATTGGTTTGACTCGTTCAGTGGTGGTGGCGGGGATCAGAGATGAGGATGAGCCCCAAGTGTTTGTGGTTTAACTGGTACACCTGAAGTACAGCTGGAGCCCTCGTAGCACAGTGGTTAAGAGCTTGGCTGCTAACCAAAATGTTCGCAGTTCGAATCTGCCAGCCACTCCTTGGAAACTCTATGGGGCAGTTCTACTCTGTTCTATAGGGTTGCTATGAGTCGGAATTGACTCGATGGCAACGAGTGTGGTTTTTGGGTTTTTTGGAAGTACAGTTAAATACACTTAATCTCAAGTTGTCCAGTGATGACTTCATGGAGAAGAGCCCTCTGACTCAGCTGTGACCAGGCTTATGTCTTAAATAACCTGTTAATACCCTTTCACCTCTTTCTTGGAAGATGTGAAAGTAGACCAGACGGAAAACTCTTGAGCTATAAAATTGAGTGCATCATAAAATAACTGTGTAGTCAATATAAAGTGTCAGGTCCATTTAAAATGTCTCACTTTGAAAATGTCTTAACGTGACTCCTGGGAAACAGGCAAAATAGTCCTGATGCATGGAATATTGCCTCCTCAGCCCATAGCCTGGGTGAGACCAGCTTAAGAGTAGGCTCTTCTGCTCTGTCTTATATGTGCTAGGGGTGACATGGTGGGGGTGGGACAGAGCAAGGAAAGGAAAATGGAAGAAAGGCAAGAGAGAGAAGAAAGAGCAGAGATATATAAGTGATCCTATACATCCTCAAAAGCCCAGCTCCCTTTGTTTTGTTTGTTTGTTTACATCTTTCCCAACACCTTTCCTATTGCCATTTAGCTTCTAGCTGGGGAAGAGAGCTGCCCTCTGAAAGGTGGAATCAGAGACCGTATCTCAGGAGGCTGGAAGAGGTGACAGAGGGGTGGACAGGGAGACCTGGAACAGCAATAACTTGTTCCTCTGGAGATATCAATATATTTGGAGCCAATTATGTCCATTCCTTGATGGAAGTTTTCTTCCCAGGTGGATGCATGAACTACGGCGGGAAACACCTCTGTCCTCAGAATTCCTGTAGCAGACAGTCCCTACCTGCAGCCAAAGGCACATTTCTGAGATCCCTGAAGTCTAGGCTCTGAGTAGAAAATTAGCAAGGGCTAATGGTGCTGGGTGACCAAGTGACCTGTCTGTCAAAGTCTGTCGTACTGTGGTGGCTTGCGTGTTGCTAGGATGATGAAAAGTATTCTGTTGGTATTGCAAATCCCAGTGGGGTCACCCATGGTGGACAGGTCTCAGCAGAGCCTCCAGACTAAGACTAGGAAGAAAGGCCTACCAATCTACTTCCGAAAATTATACACCGAAAACCCTATGGATCACAACATAATATTGCTGGAAGGTGAGCCCCCTAGGTTGGGAGGCACTCAAAATACACAGTGGCCGCAACAATAGACTTGAGCATACCAATGATTGTGAAGACAGCGTAGGACCAGGCAATATTTCCTTCTATTGTACATGGGGTCGCCATGATTCGGAGCTGACTCAACGGCAGCTAACAACAACATTGCCGGATAACCAAGTAACAGGGTCACCAGGCGTCCGGGTTCCCTCTTCAGAGCACAATAAGGTAAAATGCGTGGGGAGAGGAATGTGACGACTGGGGTAAGGGCTGTTCGTGAGTGTTTGTGTCAGGCACTACTGTCTCAGGTATCATTCCAGTGGCAGCTCATGCATGTTATGTCAAGACCTAAGTGTCTTGATTCTAATGCCTGTCCCCAACACCCAGAACATTCTCTTCAATCCCTACCACTCTGTAGAGTCTCTGGACACATTACCAGGGCTTCTCACCAACAGTTAACTAACAAATGTCCACAGAGAAGCTCCTTTTCCTTCCTTTCACTTCTGCTTGAGAATTCTCTTAAAATTCCCATTACTCCTTTTGTGCCTTTGGTGTTGTATTGAATGAAAACTCTAGTTAGTTTCCATGAAGCTTCCTCACCAAGTCAAGGCGTAAACACCACAAGGAAAAGAATTCTCCCACCCCCTCCCACAGCTCCCCAAAGGTTGCGTTAAGTTTGTTTTTTTTCCTCACGTCATTCCAGGCTTAAAAGCATCATCCAACAAGCAAGCACACCCAGGAGCGAAGGAATGCTCTGGGAGACATCTTGTGACAGTGAGCTGATGTGAAAGCAAAACGACAGATCTAAAACCCGTGACAAAAAATATGGTGGAGAATGCTGTTAGAATGCGCATGCACCCCAAGCTATGGTCTGTGCAACATGGTCAGGAACAGAAATTAGTTGAAATAATGGCTGGGTCATGCAATTATTGGGAAAGAAGCTGCTGAGGAAAATAAAAAAGTGTGAATACCTGTGTAGGTCATAGCTTCCTCCTTCTTTATTTCCTGATATAGGAAAATACAAGAGTAACTCATGTTAGCTTTAGAACACATACAACCATTGACAATCTTGTTTTCCATGCACAACTTCTAAATCCTAGAAAGAAATATATTACATTGTGTTAAATACAGACAGTGCCCAAGCCCAACTGAGCTTTTCTACCACACAGGTTCAAAATGAGGACTGAGAGCTATAAACGAAAAGGTTTAAGATAAAAACCACAAGTGTTTACATGAAAAATGGGTGAAGGTGAGAAAAGGAGGGACGCTGATTTAAAAGTAGGAAGAAAAGTACCTCCAGAAGTCTATGGGATTCTGAGTAAAAGTTTAATTTTGGCTAAATTTAGACAAAACACTTGAAAAAAATGGCCGACATTTATATCCTCTAGCAATAGTCAAGATGGCGGCGAGCACTATTTGACGCGCAACAGCAATACCTGGCTGCACCTGGTGTGTCTTTTCACCATTAAGACAATTGAGCAGATTTCACTGAGTGGTTTTGTCATCACCGATAAGAATGCTATGTTCTTCCGGGGAGAAAGGTCTGGGTATAACATTTCTAGTATCCCTAACAGTTGGTTTAGATTCTACGCTGCTGTGGGTTTTTTTGGTAAGTTGGTAAGTTTGGAGGAAAAGGTCAACAGACAAACAGGATATTTGAAAAGATTTGAGCTGAGCAGGCTCAGTGACCACAAGACCTATCCTGCTGGCAGCTGATTCCACCAAGATGTTAACAGAGAGCTGTTGACTGACAGCTGAGATGTGAGTGCTCTCACAGGATTTACATTGCGTGATGGGACTCCCATGGATCAAAAGCCTTTATGACCCGACAAGGGTGGAAATGACGAGCAGTGACACGGTTCATTCTGGGACGAGAACCTCGACTCTTCAGGTCACACAACCCATAGAGTTGCCTACTTTTACTGCTGGAGATACTGGCTCTCCGGCAGAGACATAATCTGCTAAAGACACTGAGAAAACTCAGCCACACAACAAAGGGCCCCTGTGAACTCCTCCCCAGTGCCTAAAGTTCAGCTCTTCACCCTTCAGGGGTTGGCATGCTCTGCTGACACCAGTGGCCAATCCAGCCTTAGCTCTCACTCCTTCCTTCTACAGACAGTGGGTATTTACATTCCTACAAAAATTACAAGGAGAAAACGGGTATTTGCATTAAACAGGAAAGAGCTGGGGCTGATACTGAAAAGAACTGCATCCCCAAGATCCAAAGGAGAAATAAGTTGGTGAGTTTAACACTGCAGACCAGGGAGGGAACATCTGGCTGATTTCACATAGACCCCCTTTCCCTTTTAGATCCCAAGTTAACAAGCTGCTCAATTATCTCTAGTTTCTGATGCTGTCTACATTGGTGTCTTGAAATATTCTTAAAGAGACATGGGAAATACTGGCCAAAGAAATCTAATTCACTGTGTCGTGGGCAGGGACCCAACTGGGGGTGCTCCACAATTGGATACGCAGAAATCGGGCATTATGTTTCCGTCCAAGGTCCCTTAAAAAAGAGGATATCCTGGTTTACCTAGCCTACATTTATGACTGTTAACAATAACAAATCCTCAGAGCCTTCATCCCATCTCCAATAGCTGCTTCTATCAGGAATCGAGATTGACTAATAGAATAGACCTGCAGGAGAAATCGAAATGAAATGCTCACCAAATCTTTTGATGTATCTCGTGTTTCCATTAACTCATCCACAGCTAAACTTAAGAGATTAAAAAAGTGTTTGGCATTGCCTAGAGAGTTCCCCCATAAGTATCCAAAACAATATTTTTCTACGCATATAAAAGTTTCATAGGCAGAAAACTTGGTAACAAAGAATTTTCCAGGTAATGTAGGAAAAAAAAATTGTTCTCTCTTACCAGCTTCAAGGCTCTTAGGTCTTGGGTTGCATTGCTTATAACCTTGACAGCTTCTGAGCTCCATCAACTGTATGTGTAGCTGATTCAGAACGCCCCGTTCTACCGTGTGGACTGTATTTGTGAGCTGCAGAAAAGAGGGTCGAGACAACTTATTTCAGCTCATTTCCAGGTTATCCTATTTTTAACAACCTTCCTAAAATGAAAACACATCGTCTTACCTGATAAGGGTCTGTGTTCATATCAAAATATTCCAAGAAGCCCGTAGCAAACTCGCAGAAAAGAAAATTATGTGTCTCATTCACTGTACGCAAACACCAGTAGGTGTTATTGTTAGAACTCGTGCAAGCACAGAAAGATCCCACTATTGGGAAAAAAAAAGAAAAACACAACAAAAGCAAAAGAATGAAAAAACGTAGGCAGTCTCTCCATTCCAATGTTTCATTATCTTTACACTTTATCTTACAAATATTGTGATTAGATGTTAAAGATAACTTTAATTTTTACCCTTCTCAATACAGATTTGCTATGAGACTAGTGAAAACGGAAAACAAGGCGGTGACCCATGGCACGGACCACAGGCTGAAGGTGCAGATGGACTTTCCGTACGTGTCTGCCCTCCGCTTAGCTCCGTTTGGCAGTAGTCTCCAAAGCAGGGTGGGTGACTGGAGTATGGGAAGAAAAATATCAGAACTTCTGTCTAGGGTTATTTTTATCTTTTTTTAAACAAGAAAAAGTAGTTACTTAATATAAAGCTGTAACTGGTGCCTTCACTCGTTCTCTATGTCAGATGGCCAGGTGTCACAAATGGGACATAGAAAGATCGGGAATTCCACAGTGTGAAGTGGTTTGGAGAAGGCTTGAGCCCAGCTGGGTAGCTCTTGGGATGATGTAACTGTAATCATCATAGGCTGTCTTCAATGCTTTGACATAAGCTGGGCTGTGACCATAAACATCTCTTGTACCACACAAAGGTTCCTGGTTAACAAGGTGGTTTGCTTGCTTGTTTGGTCATCTTACGTTCATTGAGCATCTACTACGTGCCAAGGGTACAGCATCGCGTAGACAGGGCCTCTTATCTTAAGAAACTTATAGTCTAGTGAGGAAGACGAATGTTAAGCAAAAGTAAAAGTAAAAAGCATGTAATTACAAATGTGAAAAGTTCTACGGAGTAAAGGTAGAGCATGCTGAAAGTGTGCTGAAAGGGCTTAGCGTAGTCTGAGGGTCCAGGGAAGGTCTCCATGAAGAAGTGATGTTACAGTTGAGATCTGAATGGTGCGTAGGTCTCTGATAGGCACAGGGCTGCAGGTGGGTGAAGGCGTGAGAGCCTTCCAGGCAGAGGAGCAGCATGTGCAAAGGCCCTGAGGTGGGAGGAAGTGGGCCCAGAAGTAGAACTGACATGTAGTAAGCAGGGCTTTGTCATATAGATTAAGGATTTTACTCTATATTCCTAAAAAATACTAACCCCCCAGTTGCTGTCGAGTCAGCTCCAACTCATGGTGACCCTATGTGTGTCAGAATAGAACTGTGCTCTGTGGGATTCTTAATGATTGATTTTTCAGAAATAGATTGCCAGGCCTTTCTTTTGAGGTGCCTGAGTGGACTCAAATTCCAACCTTTTGGTTAGCAGCTGAGCCTGTTACCATTTGCACCACCCAGGGACTTAGTTCCCTAATAAAAATAGGGTGTCATTAAAAGATCACTCTGAGTCCTCTGAGCAGAGTGGATTAGAAAGAGCAAGCGAGGAATCTGGGAGGCCACAGACGGGGTTTCATAGTGGCTGAGGTAAGAAATGGTGGTGGCTTGGGCAGGGTGGTCTCAGCTCAGACGGGGAGAAGCGGATAGTGGTATGAAGGACCTCCATCTGGCACGAGAGAATAAGAAGTTCATGTTTCTCAGTGCTTGATCTTCAAAGGGCTTGACCAGTCCTGGACGCAACAAATTCTTTACTTCCTCAGAACCTTGCTCATGCTATTCCTTCTGCCTGAAATGCCGCCCCCCTCCACGCACGCCCCCTTTCACATGGATTCCTTCTCTTAAGCCTTTAAATTGCAGTTTAAATTTCACTGCTTCAGTGCAAACATGGATGCTGCAATCAAGAGGCATCAAAATAGACAGAACTTAAAGATTCTCATGGATAGGTCTTATATTGCCCTAAGAGTGATCTGTGGATTCCTGGACATCTCAAAATTCAAGTTTGAGAAACACTGACATGGGTGGTCCCCAAAGAGCCTTTCCATTCTAAGATTCTGTGTTTCATCTGGAGTCTCTGGGTGGTGCAAATGGTTAACGGGTGAGGTTCGAGTCCACCCAGAGGCATCTCGGAAGAAAGGCTTGGTGATCTACTTCCAAAAAATGAGACACTGAAAACCTCATGGAGCACAATTTTACCCTGAGACACGTGGGGTGGCCCTGAGTCAGAACTGACTTGAGAGCAACTGATGGCTGGTATTTCATCTACTTCACAGGATGATAAGCCGTCAGTCTGAGGATGTACCACAAGAATTTAGGGTATTATTTCTCTATGACCTCAGGGAATATTGTGCACAGACATGCATATATGAGCATCCATTTAAAAAATGGACAATCATTATTATTCCATAATCTTGCAATCCAATGGAAAAATCAAATATTTTATTGAGCTCCTATTATTCTGTAAGCATGGTGCTTGGTTCTGAAGTGGAGTGGGACATTAAGTAGGGTGTCGCTCTGCATTTGAGGAGCTCTTACCACTCTTTACCCCCTTGTACTGTGTGTACAGTATACACTGAAAATAAAGCAGAAGCAAAATACATTTGGGGCAGCACTGTTCATATGCTCATTTAGCTGTAGAGCAATCTTCTTGAGTAGGAACTCTACCAGGTGCTGCGCACTATGCACAAGAACATCCTAAGGAGAAAAATCCAGGGAGAAGTCTGGCATTTCAAACAAAATATGAGCAAAAAAATTCTAAAGAAAAAAGCAATTTTTTGGCAAAATAACATGATTTGCCAGTATAGAAAATAACATGACATTTTCCATTCGAATCCTTCCAGATAGCTGGTTTTATGCCATTGAATCTTAGTCGAAGTAACTGCAGTATGAGTCACTGTCCCCATGGTAGCAGCACGCGGCACTTGGGGTGAACAACTTACAGTTCCAGAAGGGGGCCGTCTGCCAGTGGTTGTTGTCGTGCGTGAAGCAGGTGAGGCCAGGAAGGCTGCATTCATCCCCCTTCCTCTGCCGTTTCTTCTCCTTCCTCTCCTTCTTCCTCCTCCGATTCTCCTTGAAAAGCTGGAGTTTGCTGTCTACTTCTTGAGCAGCCTCCCTATTCCAATAGAAGAGGTTTTGTAATGATCAGAAGTACTTCCTCAATGAAAACTCGGATCGCTGCTTTGAATCTCAAACACAAATTTGGATACATGATAACAGATGATCTTTATTTATCACAGAGGGCCCCAAAATATAACCAGCAATGGTGAAGAGAAGCTCATTAAGCGGCATCTCCGTTAGAACTTTATTAAGCCTTAATAGGGTCTATATTTTCTTCCTTCCTTACATTTAAACACTGATGAAGATAAATGTGAATCCCACTAGCAGGACTTCTTGAGCAAATCACTTAACTTCCCAGTGGTTTTGTACCTGTCAGCCATGGAGTCAACAGTTGGTTGGGTTAGATGGACAGTTGGTTGGGTTAGACGGACAGTTGGTTGGGTTAGACGGACAGTTGGTTGGGTTAGATGGACAGTTGGTTGGGTTAGATGGACAGTTGGTTGGGTTAGATGGACAGTTGGTTGGGTTAGACGGCTTCAATTAGATGGTTTCTAAAATTGTTTAACAAATTCTACAAAACAGGCTTGGAAAAAAATTTTTTCTCTTTAAATATTGGTTTTCCCTAAAGGGCTTCAAATTTTGTTGAGGCTCAAATACTAAGTCTCCTTCGTATGCAGATTTTACTCTTATTTAAAAATATGTATATTTCTTATAACTTTCAGAATTCACACGATTGCAGGCTGCGCTTTGCCACACGCTGATCTAACCAAGAGCCCACATCTCTTTGGCACTCTGCACAGAAAGCAGTACATTGAGTAAAATACAGTTTGTTTGTTTGTTGTTGTTGTCAAGTTGGCCTTGACTCTTGGCAACCCCATGCACAAGAGGATCAGAGCATTGTGATTCATAGGGTTTTCATTGGCTGATTTTCAGAAGTAGATTGCCAGGCCTTTCTTCCTACTCTGCCTTAGTCTGGAAGTTCTGTTGAAACCTGTTGAGCATCATAGCGACACGCAAGCCTCCACTGACTGAGGGTGGTAGCTGCACTTGAGGATTGTCTCATAAATGCAGTGGAGGGTGCACGCAGAGGCAGAGTAGAACTCCGGCTGGCTCTGTCCCAAAGTGTTCCACAATCATCACCACAGTTCCTTGGCAGAGTGTGGGCTTTGTTTTCACCTTCTTGAGCTACTGGCCCTCCTAGGTGACTCTGCTTCTTCTGAAGCAGCACCAGTTAGAACCCAGGAGACCCTCCAGCCTTTCAGAAGTGCCCACAGACAGTCCTCCATTCCCATGAATGTGGACAACAGAGAGTTACTTACTTGAATGGGTGAAGATGGCTCTTTAATTTCTCTTGCTTTTTTACACCTTTCTCTTTATTGTAATAGCTGCAGGTAAAAGGAGTAAAAAGTGAGTCTTCATGACCTTTCATTTGACCAAACAATTCATTTTACATAAAGAAAGCAAAATAGAAGGAAAATAGTTACTTTGTTACAACGATTTTAACTTAATGGGACTTTTTTTTTTATCTTCTGCATAGGTTTATGGCATATTTAATTTGCTCTAAATAGCTTAGGTTGTTATAATATACGATAATGTCAACAATTTATTAAAGTTTTAATTGGTAAAAGAGAGACATAAGCCTAGTGGTAATCACTTTAAAAAATCAGTTGCCGTTGAGTTGATTCCAACTCATGGCGACCCCGTTGTGTATCAGAGTAGAACTGTGCTCCATAGGGTTTTCAATGGCTGATTTTTCAGAAGTAGGCCTCTAAGCATTTCTTTGAGGTGCCTCTGGGTAGATTCTAACCTCCAACCTTTTGGTTGGTAGCCTGGCTGGCAGCTGAGTGCAGGGACTCTGTAATCACATTAGCTTGTACAAATGGAAATGCGTTCGGGAAGCAGTCAGTGGGATGGGTAGACGCTTACCTCTGTTTACTACAGCCACATTCCTCGGGCTTTCTTCTCTTCAGGTGACCTCTCACTTCTCTTAAATTCTTAATTTTATCTTGCAGAGCTTCAATCTGGAAAATATGTATTTGAACAATGGCATTTTAAGAGGAGGATTTCCTACTCCAAGTATCTTTTTTTTTCCCACCTTATTTTCTGTTTTACAATTGTAACTATCCATTTGAGATGATAATTAATTTGGAAGCAAACTGGGCATAGACTAGGTCTACCTCTGTATTTCATCCGATGTGTTACAAACAAACATTAACAGATGTCTCTATTATAATTGGATCACTTTATCACAGGGATTTCAAAAGGTCATTGAGTTGATCCCCACTTTCTTCTCACATTTTATTTGGTTTTTCAGTCAGGGTTATCACTAAATCACTGGAGAAAGAGAAATATCTTGGGTGTTTTTCTTCTTTTCACGGAATGAACAAGAAGACGAAGTGTACACATACGACGTTCCTCCAAACTGGCAGAGCAGGGCTGGAGGGCCGAGTCTAAATTAGGAATCTAACTTATGGATTAAATTGTGTCCCTGAAAAGATGTGTTGGAATCCTAACCTCTACACCTGTGGATGTAATCCTGTTTGGAAATAGGGATTCCTTTGTTATGTTCATTAGATCATACTTGAGTATGGTGGGTTCTGAATCTAATCACTTCTGAGTTATAAAAAGGGCAGATAGACCCAGAGACCCATACACATGGGGGAAGGCAGATGCCATGTGAAAATCATCTACAAGGTAAGGAGCTAAAGGAATGTTCAGGGCTACCGATAAGGGAGGGATTGACATGGCTGAGACCTCAATTGGGACTTGCAGCCTCCAGACCTGTGAGAAAATAAATTTCTGTTCCGTAAAGTCACCCACATGTACTGTATGTATCCCAGCAGCACTAGGTAACCAATACACCTGACAACCACATAGCCAGGGCTCACCTCTTTATCAATGTAGGCCTTATGATCCTTCCAGGCCCGGGCTGATTGGTACAGTTCTCTCTCACAATGGATTGTATCATTTGGAAGAATAAAACATCTACAAATACAAACAAATTAGAAATAGTGAAGGAAAATTAATTATCCTGTAAATTCTTAATCTGGATACAAGCAGTAAGTACAGAACCGATCAATAGCCAAGGATGATGGAGGATGTCTCCCAACTACAGGTGTGGACAAAGGATGGGGTCATAGAGAGAGCAGCACTAAGATGATCTTATAAGACAGCTGTGAATATTCACCTCCCCATAAACAGATGCCACTTAAAATTCCAGTTTTGAAAGCCTCAGCAAGTATATGTAAGAAAAAAAAGTTTTCCAAAGTCATGATAGAAATAGCTTGTTTGAAGAAATTCAGAATCAGAAAGAGGGTATTCATCCACTCAATTTGTTAAAAAGAGCTTGCCTTGAGAACCCCATTAAGTTTTGAAGCAAAGAAACAACCCTGGCAAAGACAGCAGGTGAGATGTGGGGTGTGTGTGTGTGTGTGTGTGTGTGTGTGTGTGTGTCAATGAATTATATAAGAGAAACAAATCGTGATCTAAATCGCTTAGCATATCAAATGAAAACTTTGGGTGACCTCACCATACCCTGCCCCCCACAGTGATGAAATTATAAAGAAAACAAATAGCTTGGGTCATAAATTCAGAAAGAAAATATTTCTCTACCAGGAGAGTAAGTAGATTTTGGAAGGAAGTGAAGAACCACACGAATCTATGAAAGCTATGCTGGAATTCTCTCCCCTCCTTGTCTCAATGACTTTCAAGGCCCTCTATGCTCTCAGGAACCCCTGGGTGGTGCAAATGGTTAATGTGCTCAGCTGCTAACTGAAAGGTTGGAGGTTCAAGTCCAGCCAGGGGTGCTTCAGAAGAAAGGCCTGGTGATCTACTTCCAAAAAAGCAGCCATTGAAAACCCTATGGAGAACAGTTCTACTCTGACACACATGGGGTTGTCATGAGTCAGAAGCAACTTGAAGGCAACTGGTTTTCTATGCTGTCTGGGATCTGGACAGGCTAGGTGTTTCTGTATCTTACATCTCTTCCCAATCTATACCATCTATCTGGAAGCTTACCTGGGACCCACAGTCCTCTCTTGGGCTCTGTTTCATTTCTGAGGCTGTGTTCGTGAGCTGCTCTGAGCAAGAGGGACCTTGCCATGTGGAAGAGTCTCTGCTAGTCCCAGTAATTGTTCCCGTCTGTTTTCTAGACTCCCACAAAGATAACTGCTTAAGTGCATAAGCTCCCAGCCTGCTAAGTCAAGATGTGACAGAGTTACTCTGGCTGGATTTCCAGCTGCTCAGCCTATGTGTGAAACTGACCCCAAACTCACGTCCTAATCTACCATTGTTTGGGCTCTTATTGTGTCTTTAACCACCAGTTGTCCTGTATGCAGCTCCTTGGGCAGCAGAGTGCTGAGTGCAGTTACATTTTGTAAAATGGCAAAATGGGGATGAGCTCAGCCCTAGTGAACACCTAAAGCCTTCATACTTGTGTGTCACTCGGACGGTGGCAGGCGGGCCCATGGCATTGCTGCTGTCTGCCAGCATCTCGTCCCCGTTCCCACCGCTGGCAGCCCGGAGATCTCCTGGCCCCTTGTGGCCTTCATCATGACGCTTGGCAATGGTTCTTGGTTGCAACACTTGTAATTCTTCCTCTTCCAGGTTTATGTCATATATTTCACCTTCAAATTCAACAGACAAGGAACGCGTCTGCCGAGTATGGACAAATCTGGGCTTGTACTCTGGAAATAAGGGAAGATACATTAATATGGAGATCCCTGGGTGGCACAAATGACTTGCGCTCATCTATAATCTAAAGGTTGGTGGTTTGAACCTTCTCAGGGGCACCTCGGAAGAAAGGCCTGGCAATCTGCTTTCATAAAGATTACAGCTAAGAAAATCCTATGGAGCAGTTCTACTCGGTAACACACAGGGTCACCATGAGTTGGAATCAACTTGATGGCAATGGGTTTGATTTGGTTGGTACATTAATATGAAGGTCCTGATTTAGTTTAGGTGGGGAAGAAAATGATCATTGGGCACGGTGAGCGTACTGGAAAGGGACAAGTGGTACATGCTGCGTGCGTTGCTGAGAGACATCTTAGTGCTGTGGGCAGCTCACATCAGGAGAGGTGGGTTCTAGTCCTGGCCTTGCCACCACAGAACGCCTTGGGCAGGTGTCTCTGGGCCTCAGGTCCTCTATCCTTCAAGTGAGGGGGTGGGTTTGGGCAATCTCTAACATCCTTTCCACTTACAGCAGGCTGTGAACATCTACATTTAGTTTTTAAAGTGAACTGCTAAAGCAGATTGTTTGGATAAAATTATATTCTTCAATTATGGCATTATTAATAACAGCTCACTTACTGAGCTTTTGCTATGTATTATTCACTTTATACATATCTCTAATTCACAACCATGAAAGACAGTGATTATAATAAATCCTTACATAAACACACATATCTGATTATTCAAACAGGCTCCTGAATTTGGTGGCATTATCCTCATACAAGAATTGATGCCTTTGAACTGTGGTGTTGGCAAAGAACACTAAATGCACCATGGACGGCCAAAGGAACGAATAAATCTGTCTTGGAAGAAGTACGACCAGAATGCTCTTTAGAAGCAAGGATGGTGAGATTACATCTCACATATTTTGGACATGTTATCAGGAGGGACCAGTCCCTGGGAGAAGGGCATCATGCTTGGTGAAGTAGAGAGTCAGCGAAAAAGAGGAAGACCCTCAACGAGATGGATTGACACAATGGCTGCAACAATGGGCTCAGGCATAACAACAATTGTGAGGATGGCACAGGACTGGGCAGTGTTTTGTTCCATTATACATAGGGTCACTGTGAGTTGGAACCGACATGACGGCACCTAACAACAACAACGTCTTCATTTTGTAGACGAGAAAACAGAAGCTCTGAATGGTCCATCCATCTGGCAAGGTTACACAGCCAATAGCTGTGGGAGCCAGGACTGTAACCTGTCAGACCACAAAGCCCTAGTCTTTCCACAACTTGGGGTTACTTCTTCATAAAGCTACATGCTCTAGACACTTCCTGGTTGCACGAATAATAGAGGATTGCTCAATAAGAAAAATTAAAGTTTGCAAAGGCTTTCATCAGCTACCTGACTTCATTCTGGCACTGGAGGGATAATGTGTGTGGGGGGTGGGTCAGCATGCTTTCTGGCCACTATGGAACATCATCAGGTGCCCCTAGTGGGCTAGATCAGAACCTTAAAGTGCAAACATGGCCCCCTTGTGACAGCTGCACTTGGGCTCTCTGGGACATACTCACATGGCTTTATCCCTCCAATGTGGGGCTGAAATAGGAAGACGGGAACACATCTCTTGTTTGTACCTCAACATTTAAAATTCAATGTGCTTTATGGTCAGCACTACGAAAGCAACATCTGACTTCCTAGGAGAGAAGAAGGGGCCTCTACCTCTAAGCTGAATATTGGTAGTTGGTTCTGGGAAAGGAGAATGGCAGAGGTCCTTGTCAATTCTTGATTTGCTATCTTTGTGTGAATTATTAAACCTGACATGTTCTCTCAAGAAGAAAGAAAATCTCCCAAATCAATGGTTCTTAGCCTTTTGGGTTATGAAGTCCTTTAAGAATTTGTTGTAAGTTAGAGACATTCAGAAAAATGTGCAAATACACATAGGCTATGGCTAAAATAAAAGTCCATGTGTGGACTTCACGGTGAAAGGTTATGTCCTAAGGGCTGCTGTATTGTACCGAATGATTTTACTACCAGATTTTGGACATGACTTGAATTTAACGTATGTGGCCTATGGGTGGCAGGCATGGGAAAGGGCTCAACTACTAGCCAAAAGGTTGGCAGTTCGAACCCACCCAGAGGCTTCTCGGAAGACAGGCCTGGTGATTTGTTTCTGAAAGATCACAGCCTTGAAAACCTTTGGAGCAGTCTGCACACACGGGGTCACCATGAGTCAGAATTGACTCTATGGCAACTAACGACCTAGCAGAAAATGACCACAAAATGAGTCATTTTGCACATTATTCCACTAGATGACACTAGACCCTCATTCTTTTACGGAAGGTGCCAGGCTCTGGGTTCTCCTATGTCTGTAATCAGAGGTCTCTTGGCTGCCTGGTAAGTTTTAATGAAGAAAATGTTAGGCAGTGTTTTCCTAATGAATTCGACTAGTTTGACTCTGTCAGCCAACAAGAGGCACTCATCTGACAGAATTAAAAACTACAAATATATCATCCTAAAACAGAGATTAAAACACATGCCTTTAAAAAATTGTTTATGATTTTCCGTTAGGTTAAATGCACAAGTAGTAAAATCTTGGAATTTGTTTTCTAGCACCTTAAGGCAGACAAACCAAGATGTCAGCATGAAGGTAAAATTAAATTGACTTAAACCATACCTACCCCTTGGAATAACCACTTCATAGCTCTTGTATGCGTGCGTATGTTTTGTGTCTGGGGTGCTTTTACCGAATACATTTTCATTCGCTGTGTAAGTGAAAAATGTTTACAAAGGAAAATTGCAAATGAATCTCAGCTTTCTTATTTTAAAACAGCAAGCGTTTGTTTTTGGCGTACGGGCCGGCACAAAGCAGGCCTAAATGTATGCATTTAATATCTAAAACGTGGAAGGAGAAACCCTTTTGTCTCTTTAACGTCCATCCCCAAAGGACCCGGCCGGCCCTTAGATGATCTCGAGCGCATGGCTTACTGGGAGTCCCCTGGTTTCTCAGGAACTGCCTTTGGCTTTTCCTCTGGGTCCTGCTGGCTCGGTAACCATTCTGTCCACAAGCGCACTCCTTGTCTTTGTCATGGAAACCGCGAGAGTAGAGCTTTCGCGTGCTCTGCCGAACCGCCAGCAGGTCGCTGGAGCCTTTACACTTGTGAATCCGAAGCTTGCCAGATGTATCCTCGATGCACTGCCACTTCTGCAAAAGCCAGCGTGAAAGCGGGTTACGATTCTGATCCAGGTGTTAGTATTAAGGACTGCTGCTTTAGTTTCTAGAAACACTGGCTGTAACACCATTAAAGAGCACGAGTGAGGAAAGGCAAGCTCCTAAGTGACCCCGTAATACCGCGAGCCCCGCTTCTCCTAATTACTCCTTTCTCTGTAGGCAAATACAGATGCCAAAGAAATCACTGGAAATCAGAACTACCTAAATGACACCAGAGCCAAAAATGGTATATAAATCCTCGGCCTCCAGACTAAACAGAGCTTGAATGGAACACGTAAGAGCCCTTAATTCACCAAGCCCCAGTACGCAGCTGTCGGGGTTGTTTTCTCCCGACGCTTCTTTCTGGAAAAACAAACTCGGCTACTTTGTTCTCTGCCTCTGAATTTCTAATGCGAGCCAGGAAGAGTGGCAGATAAGGAAAACTGAGGTGAGTTTCATCTGAGTCCATCACAGGGTGAGCCACCTTGCGTACACCCGAGACATTAGAACACTTGTCAGGTTTTCTCCTGTGCCTTTTCTTATCCATCTGCAAACATCGCACACTTCACGGTGCCAGCTGCTCCTAACGGAGTGCTGGTCTACCTTCCCAGGAGCCACTCACCTGGCGTTTACACTGCATTTTCTAATTGTGCCTGCTGTAGTCATTTCTGTCTCAATGAACAACAAATATGACACCATTCTAAGTATTCCTCAATGCTGCCCCTTCTTGTTTTAGTTGGCTGGAGGGCCTTTTTTTGGAGGATGACTAAAAAAAAAAAAATCTATTGTGCTAAAATATGTGTAACACAAAATTTGCCATTTTAACCACTTTGAAGTGTACAGCTAAGTGGCATTAATTACATTCACCATCTTGTGCAATCATCACCACTATCTTTTTCCAGAAGATTTTCATTACCCCAAACAGAAACTCACAAGTTCTTTAACAATAACAGCCCACCCATCCTCCCTCCCTTGGCCCGTGGTAACCTCTACTAAACTTGTCTCTATGCAGTTGCTTATTTGAGATACTTCATATGATTAGGATCATGCAATATCTGTCCTTTTGTGTCTGACTTATTTCACTTAGCATGAAGTTTTTAAGGTTTTCCAGTGCCTCTCAAGTATCAGTCTGGCTGAAATCATAGCACTTCACCCATGGAAGGTGACTTCCGGCCAAGGGTCCCAGCTGGCTCTGTCAGCAGGCAAATGACACCCCTGTACAAAATAGGGTGCAGCCATTCACAGTGAACCAACAGGTAGAGTGGTGGTTCATTTTCCCTTAAGGGGTTGTAAGCCTTCAACTGGTGTTGAGCAATCAGAACAACCTTTGGGCTTCTACTGTCTAGTCCCCAAATCCCAGGTACATAGAGCTGGTTCTGTGATTTCGCATTAGCCCCTGCACACTCTTGGTACTATTGAATTTGGTTACTTCAAGCCACATCAGGTTACAAACTTCTTTTGTGGCTTGGCCAGACTGTTTTGAAGGGTCAACATTTCCATCCAGAGAAGCTGAAACTGAGGAGAAAAGGCAACGAACTACCTATTAATGAAGCCATGAAAAGGGAGCACAAAAAAGAGTAGTCTGCGGACTAAGTTACAGTGGATTTAACGAAAAGAGGGGAAATCAACTTGATTAAGCACTTGGAAGTTATGTCACATTAGTGGTTCTCAAAGCTGGCTGGACAGTGGGATTTTTAAAAGCTTCACAGAGGATTCAAATCTGCAGTTGGGGTTAAGAACTACTGTTTTCAGTTAGCAACTGGTTACTGGACCTCCTTGCAGCTGGATCCCATGTGGAGGGCAGAAGGGACATATTGAGGTCTAAGTAGCTCAGATGGATGAGTCTTTGAGAGACATGTATGTATTTGGGTGTGTGGGTATGAAAAGGAAGCTGTGTCTTGTAACTTATTGACCTAACCATGTCAGAAAATGACTCCAGTTGCAGATAAGCACTGCTAGCTGACCTATACTTGCAGGACAATGTGCTATCTTTAAAAGAAGAAAGAAGAAGAAACGATACATTTGAATTGTGGTGTTGGCGAAGAATATTGAATAAACTGTGGACTGCCAGAAGAACAAACAAATCTGTCTTAGAAGAAATATAACACATAACCAAAATATTCCTTAAAAGCAGGGATGGTGAGACTTCAACTTGTTTACTTTGGACACGTCGTTAGGAAAGATCAATTGCTAGAAAAGGACATTTCATTTGGTAGAGGGCCGACAAAAGTGAGCAAAATCCTTAGTGAGATGGATTGACACAATAACCATTACAATGGAGTCTAACATACCAACAATTATGAAGATGGCAGAGAAGCAGGCAACATTTCTTTCTGTTACACATAATGTTCCATGAGTCAGAGCTAACTCAATGGTAACTAACAACAAACAACAATTCTTGCTCTCTCTCCATAGTTAGCTGACAAGTGACAGAATTTAGTTTTAGTTGAAAACTGCATCTGGACTGTTTCATGGTTCTGTCATTTGATGTGGAGACCAGTGATCCCCAGACCTGAGCTTGGAGTACTCACAGATAGGTCCAAACAGCTTGAGGAGGTTTCATGAAATTCTCAAAAAAGTTCTCAGAAACTGATAAACAACCCCATTAAGAAATAACCATATGCCATAGACATTCTTGCTGGTAAAAAGTTTCACATAAATAACTTTTCATAGCTCCAAAAAGTTCGTGAATTGGTGGTGTTTGAGTGTCTGCCTATACCTATACCTGTCTTAAATCCAAATGGTTTAAGACTTGTCCATTCGCTGGGGTAATCTCTACCTCTAGCATTTTAAAAAGAGTTGACTACTTAATGACTATCCTAGCAACAGAAGTGGGGCCCACACAATTCACAGCCAAGTGGAAGCTTCGAGAGGGCTCTACTTTCTATCAGACAGAAAAATCTGACTAACTTTACTCTTGAAAAATAATGGCCTTATATCTTTTGGTGTTTCTACTTTATATCAACCTTAGTACAGATATTTATTTTTTAAATCACACAACTATAGTAAAAACTTTCCCTTAATTTTATAACCACACTGTATTAAAAAAATTCTGTTTCTTAGAAGAGCTGAGGGTACAAGTATATTCCTGCACAGCACAAAGGTATAGCAGAATTTTTAGTGGCTTAGCCTATTTGAAATCCCATTAGCCAAATTCCTTGTTGATTTCCTATGGGATATAGATGAAGTGAAAGGGTGTCTCCTGTCTGAAGAGTCGAATTTAACCACACCCTGCCTTGGAACTGATGATTGTACCACACAAAATCAAATATACGTAATACATATATGCATGTATACACACACACACACATATATTTCATACATACTACATAAATACACATACCTAGATAAATACTTTGATAAAGCAAGAGGCACGGAAAAAAATGCCCATTATTTTCTATACCATGTTGTTGTTGTTAGGTGCTGTCGAGTCAGTTCCAACTCATAGTGACCCTATAGGACACAGTAGAACTGCCCCATAGGGTTTCCAAGGAGCGGCTGGTGGATTTGAATTGCCGACCTTTTGGTTAGTAGCCGAGATCTTAACCACTACCCGTTGAAAAAGCCACCATACCCTATTAAATAATTAGCTAGAGGCTTTGAAAATCTTCTTAGCTGCCAGCATACTAGGAATTCTAATGAAATGTAATTACCACACATTTGCCACAGTCATTTTCGTGTTCGATATCATGACAATTTTTATGGCTGAGCAATAAAGCCTTGAAATAGCTGCAACTAAAATGGTCATTTTACTTAGAGGGTTTATAGAGGGAGAAGAAAATGGAGAATTTTCAAAACCCTGACGCTGAAACTCATGCCTTAAGCAATCTGAACTGTCAAAACGAGAAGAGGAGATGCTGTTGGACTGGAGAAGCGTTTCAGGAATGAGATGAAAGCCTGAGCTCAGGTGGGTACCTGTTAATGGGACGTGGATTTGGACCTCAGAAATGGGCTTTGTTAAACCAGGGCCCTGGAGAAGGACAGCTGACGCGTGGTCTCCCATTCAGAGGTCCTCCTACGTTCTCAGTAAATCACTTCATTGCCAAATCCAATCATCTCCATCTTCTTCAAAGACCACTCCCTCACTCTGCAAATTCCTCTCCTGCTTCCTGGGACCAGACCATCTCCATTCTCCTCCTACCTCTCTTACTTATTAGTTGCTAACTGAAAGGTCAGCAAGTCTAACCCACTAAAAGCTCCTCAAGAGAAAAGATCTGATGATCTGCTCCCATAAAGATTACAGCCTAGGCAACCCTATGGGGCAGTTCTACTCAGTCATATAGGGTCGCTATGAGTTGGAATTGACTCAACGGCACACAACAACCAATAATTTAGCACACATTCATCCCACAAATATTTCTGCATACTGACTGTGGGCAAGATGCTAGATCATTGCCATTGTTGTCAGATATCATCAAGTTGATTTTCAACTTATAGTGACCTCATGTGACAGAGTAGAACTGCCTCATAGGGTTTTCTAGGTTGTAAAGCTATTTAAATAATTTCTTAAGTTGTTATTATTTCATTTGAGCCTTTTCAGCTACACTGGAACTTGGAAGTAAGGTCAAGGACCATGTTTCATACTCCTGAATCTTTCCTAGAAGACAGCCCAGCACAGAATTACTCAGTTTTTGCTTGATTATATCTGTTGTTGTTGGGTGCTGTTGAGTCGATTCCAACTCATAGCGACCCTATATGACAGAGTAGAACTGTCCCATAGGGTTTCCTAGGCTGTAATCTCTATGGGAGCAGATAGGTAGGTTTTTTTCTCCCACAGAGAGGCCGATAGTTTCAAACCACTGACCTTTTGGTTAGCAACTGAGCACTTAACCATTGTGCCACTAGGGCTCCTACCTGTATGTAAATGACGACACATTAGTGGTTCAGTGGTAGAATTTTTGCCTTCCATGCAGGAGACCCAGGTTCAATTCAGACCTACTTCTGAAAATCAGCCAGTGAAACCCCTATGGATCACAACAGTCTGGGGATCATGG